TAGTAGCAAAAATAAAGCAAAAACTAGTGTGAGTATACACTTAACACTCTTTCCTTAAGATCACTTAACTTTGCTGTGTGAAGAGCATATTTTCTTTTCCGACAGTAAATCAGGATTTACTCACGTTTGAATTTGTATTAAATATATTTTTTAAAAATTTTGTCAGTAAATAAAAATTTCTGTGTTAGAGAAAAATTAAGTGTGTGCAAAAGTCCTGCAAAAGTCTAGCTAGTATAGAAACAGGATAAAGGAAATAACTTTTTATGAGAGTCCGTTTAACAGAGCTTTCACTGTATCAATACATAATTTCTTTTGATGACTAATAATATACGTGTATTTATATTATAAAGTGATATTATGTACTATATAAAAACTTTACTACAATAGTACTGGTTTACAAAGATTTATTTTAGTATGAATTAAATAATTAAGTGTTTTTAAGTTGTTTTATCTCTGCGTTTAACTTAAAACTGTTTTTTTTTATTTATTTTTTTATAATTTAAAAAAATGAAAACAAAATTTGCTACAAGAATAAAAAGTTTAATATTAATATTCAGATTATTAAAATTGTTTTTATTTTCTGAAAAATTTTGTAAATAATTCCAATTTGCTTTAATTTGAAAAAAACTATAAGTATTTGTTTAATATTAAGTAACATTAACATCATGTACTGCTACAAACTATTTTTCATTTTAATGTTCACAATGTCTCTAGTTCTTGATATACAATAAATCATTCTACAATCAATTAATAATTCTTATTGCTTAAATTTATTATCTTATTTTTTTATATTATTTTAGCTTCAAACAATTTCTTTCAAGGCTTCTTCTGTTTTTCTTATTGGTGCTTCGACAAGAAAAAGTGCTCTTAACAAACTATTTAATTGATTTCAAAATTATTAACTTTTAATATCTTAACTTAAATAATATAAATAACAAAATTTAAAATTTCGTTAGTTTTTAATTAATTTTGTCATGCACTTTATTTTTGGTATTTCTGACAAAATAATACAAAATATATCAAAGTCCAAATTTGCGCTAGAAGAATTTTCTGTTGATTTTTCCAAAAATTTTGATTATTCAGGATACTGTTCGCTTCGGCATTGCATCTAATTTCTGTTTTACAAAACGTCTTTTTTATTTGTTTCTTACTTTTTTAGTTATTAATTTGTTTTTATATATATTTATCGCATTTTTCTTTTTTTACACTGCATTCTACTCCTTGCCAATATTGCCATAAACCACTAATTTACTAAATTAGGTCACGTTAATTTCAAGTGAGCTAAAATTTAAATTATATACACATATATATAAAAACAACATATAAATAATAATTTAAAAAATTAAATAGTTAAAAAAAAAATAAAAAATAAATTAAATAGTTCAAAAATAAAAATAAAAAATAAATTAAAACATTAAAAGTAAAATGCAAATATGTATTTTGTTATGTTTAAATAAAATTTTATTCAATTAATTTAATATAGATATAACTAATAAAATCAAAATATTTCTTTAATAACAACTTAAGCTTATATCACATTTAAGATTTTAAATTTGACAGATGTTTGCTACTCAATAAAATGAAATGTTATTAATCGTAAAAAAAAATTCGATTTTAAAATGGTTAAATTAAATAATTATTTCACACTTTAAGCAGTAGATAAACAATATTAAACATACATAAAAAAATATCATTAAAATTTCGATATAAAATAAACAAGATATTCTTTGTATATAATAAATAAATTACAAATACGTCATTGATTAAATGAATTTATCTAACTTAATTTCTACTACTGCTTGATTCTATTTTATTTATAAATAATATTTATTTGTGGTGTGTCATATTTTAAAAAACTACTAGGAAAAAAATCAAAAAATTAAAATTAATATTTATATTTGTGACTGCGAGACATTCTTTAGCATTGTTTGCTGTGACATACAACTTGAAAGCAAATTACAAATTAATTAACTTAGACATATAATACAAATGAAAAAACAAAATCAAAAAAAAAAAAAAGAATTTGCTACTTAAAAATATATAAACTGACAACGTACAAATGTAATTAAAACTAAAAACGAATTATATATATATATAAAATTATATTCAAACACTGCTCACATTTATTCTCAAAAAGGGTGAAGACATATAAAATATAATTCTTATTTTCCCCCTGCTCGTTCACAATCGTTCCTTCCCAGCTCGTTACTTATATAATATCATTTTCTCTAGCTAACTTAACGATTTTAATGCGTATTTAAAAAAAAGTAAAAATAACTCTCAATAATACGTTTCTCACTCTTTTTTCTGTACTGTCTGCTCTCGCTTCAGCTCCTTAATAGTTGCTATTTTAATAAGCTTAATCGGATTTTTTATTCAACTTTCTTCCAGCGCTTGCGATTTGTCATACGAAATCCAACTCAGATCTTGTTTTGTATAATTTACGCTCCATGGTGCGTTCAAACCATTTCTTAATTTCTGCAACAATGAGTACCGAGGAAGTTAGCGAGAGCAAGAAGAGTATATCGTATACAGAGAGTGCTTCCGTCTGGAATACCATTTGAAGAGGTGGAAAATAAATCACAAGCATTTGTCCAATAATTGAAAACCCAACCGCCATGAGGAACATTTTATTCGAGGTGAGACCAATTTTAAAAACGCTCTTTGTCTGGGAACGGCATGACAGAGCATTAAACATATCAAAGAAAACGAAGCAGGTGAATGTCATGGTAGTATCACGTTTGGTTTTGCCAAGTGTGCCATCAGCCATTTCTCGTTGGAACACCCATAGTGTGCCAAGTATTATAATGCTAGCACTGAGCAAAACATTAACTATAACCGATTTTGTTATCATTGGCTGTTTAACGTTGCGCGGTTTTTGTTTCAATACATCATGATCCACAGGTTCAACACCAAGCGACTGTGCTGGCGGTCCGTCCATTATAATATTAATCCATAGAATTTGCATAGCATTTAAAGGATTTGCAATGCCCATAAGTGTGGCAAGTGCAATTAGTGAGAGTGCCGCAATTGAAGTACTAAGTTGAAAGCGCACAAAATTGCGTATATTGTAGAATATAGCCTTGCCCTCCTCTATAGCCGCACTGTAAACATATGAAAATGGTTAAAGAAATTTAATTAAAATTGATTGACAATTGGAACTGAACTTACATGATTGTGTGAAAATCGTCGTTGACCAAAATCATATCTGCTGCTTCTTTGCAAACGTCAGTACCATTTTTACCCATTGCTATTCCTATGTCTGCTTTTTTTAACGCTACTCCATCGTTTACGCCATCACCTGTCATGCCCACAATATTTCCGGTGCGTTGTAGGGATTTTACAATGTCAAGTTTGTGGCGTGGCGTAACTCGATAGAAAACACTGACATTGTTGGCCACTTTGTCAAGTTGATGCTCATTCATTTGATCCATCTCCTGTCCAGAGAGTGTCTGATGGTGAATCGTATCGATTCCAATGAGATTAGCTGCAATGAAGAAAGGATTTTTAATTTTTATTTAAAAGAAGTCATTGCTATTTCAATTAAAAGTAAAAAATTGAAGATATTTGTTTAATTAATTTTAATCATATTAAAAATTAATAAATAAAAAGTCTTTGTTATTTAATTTTATTAAATCTGTACATAAATAAAATTTAACTATCAATAAATTCCAACCAGCGTTGTCCGTTGTATTTTTTTTTAATCATTTAAATGTTATATACAGGGTGTTTCCTAAATATGTATCATATATGCTACCCATTTCTACGACAGGAGATGAGCAAAATGTACAATTTTCCTTCTCGTTAGTCCGAGAAAAAAAATTGTGTTGGGGTTCCAGTTTCGATTTATGCCGAAATACAAGACAAACAAGGAGTTATTTGAAATATCGTTACATTACTGTACTATTGTGAATTATACACTTAATTCTGAATGTTTAATTTTAAGTTTTTCCAAAGTTGCCATCGAGAGTAGTGTTTATTTTATGTGTTCTTAGGTCTGGTATTGTATAAAGTGTTTTCTAGCTGCATGAGAACTATCGATATCGATAACTATGGTTTGAAAGCTGTGCGGTTTAAACGCTGGAGGCATCATCGGTCCTTAGTTCTATTGAAATGAGAAAGGAGCCGGAGAGTTACGGTGAATGGTAAGCAGTATCGAGTCATGTTGACTGAATTTAAATTTTGTTTCCAAAAATAAATCGGTTCAATATCGACGACACTTGGCATTTGGTGCAACTCTTCATACAGTATGCTTAACAATCGATTTATTGTAAAATTAATTTGGTAATAACCTTATTTCCAGAAGTGGTCCTGTTAGCTGGCCCCCTCGTTCCTGCGATTTAACGCCTCTCGATTACTTTTTATGCGGCTATGTTAAGTTATTGGTTTATGCTGTCAAATCAGTAACTTTTGAAGCATTGAAATCCAAAGTTAATGCCACCAATGATGCCATACTTATGTTGTTTTCCCGAGTTAATGCAACTGGGCACTTTTATTCTTTGTTAGCTGGGGGTTTCTTCAGAGTCCCTCCCTTCTCTTTGACTAATTTATGTATACCTCATAAGCTTCACAGATTATATGATGATTGATCTAAGATCTGCATACCGCCTCGAAGGGCTAGTGACTGCTCTGAGATTAGATAGTGCTCTGTAGGGCAGCCTGTCAGTTTTCGCGTATAGCTCTAGGGCTCTGTCCCTTATGTATTTTAAGAGCGGTTCTATGCGTGCGGATGTACCATAGCACTTTGAAGAGTCTTCGGAGAGAATTGACAACTTGTAGCTTCTGGGTAGTAGAGTTTGCAGCTTTGCTACACGCGAGACACCCATAGAGAAGTATCGATATGATTATAAAACTGTAGATCAACTTTTTGTTCTTAGCGCTAAGATTATTGTGTTTAAAAAGTGGTCATAAGCACAATGCAGTGTTTTCGCACAACTACTTATTTTTGTCCTGTATGTGCTTGTGATAAGTGACCCGCTTATCAAACGTGTTTCTCAGGTATTTGATGCTATCCTCCTAATTTATCGCAATGTCACCAACTCTCAGTTTTGGTGGATGCTGCATGTGTTTACGAGTTATAATCGTAGCCTTAGTTTACCCACCACACCCCCACATTTATTGCAAAATATAGTCAAGAATTGGGGTAATCAAATGGACCAGCCGCAAATCATATTCAAAAAATAAATAAAATTTATTCCAATCATATTTTTGTCTTGTCTAAGTCTAAGTTCTCAGTCAGCTAAAAAAATAACCTATATTTGGGTGATTGGTCAATTACTTTTGACTATCTAAAGACCTTAAGCTCGTTTAAAATACT